TCTTCATCTAGTAATGCTTCTAGTTCCTCATTTTCTAACTTTTTTGATTGCTCAGAACGTTCTTCGTATTCCAAGCCAAAATCACCACTTTTAAATGCTTGTTCACCATAATTCACTTCCATCAAAATACGATGATTTTCAGGCTGAGGTGTTCTTCATATTAAAGTAATGAAGAAGAACACTCCGCGAAAACACTTTTTCAGGCAAGCAGGACAGTATAGCTTTTCAACGCATGTTTGGAATATTTGAAAAAATAATAATAACGCCATCTCTTGAAAAACCGCACGAATACACAATAGTTTTAGACCCACTTATGCTATGAGTTGCAACTACAGGTTCAATGATTCTATAGCTAGCAAGCTACGTGAATTCCTTTATTCCAAATACGTGCTTAAATTGGTGATTGACAAAAATACTCTACGATACATCAATAAATAACGTAGTAATATTAGTGGTAACCCTATTTTTTATAACATCTAAAATAAAAGGCTGCAGTTTTTTTAGAAAGAGTTGTTTGATTAGTTTATTTGATATGCTCATAGAGACTAATAATATAGGATTTATAATAATTTCTTTTAAGTTGGTAACCTTATTTCCGGCAACGCATATTTTTCTAAATTAATATTAATTATCATATCAAATAATTAATCATTGCTATATCTTCTAATACGATTGCAACCACTTCTTACATTCTGAACAGGGTATACTAAGATTTAGCAATGTCCGTCTGTCTGTATGTCATCGATCTTGATTAGAGTGACTACAGTTTTTAAGATATCGATCTAAAAAATTGTTCACTTTCTTTTCTTCTCAAAAAGCTGCTCATTTGTCGTAACCGCCGATATCGGATAGCCACACAAACTGACTGATCAAACACAAGTCCTTGGATAGACAACTTTTTTATTAGACAAATTAACTTGACGAAATTTGACATAGCATATTGTTCAAGGCAACGCTACAATCTCCGAATAAATTGTTCAAATCGGATAGGAAATACATCTGTGAAGGGTATTATAGACTCGTTGCAACCGAAGTTAACATTTTTTTTGTTCTTATATATGTTTAACCAAATTATATATTACTAATAATTTTATGTAAATATTATGATATCAATATTATCATAAAATCATACGGTACACTGAACCTTACATTTTATTATTTTCCGTTACAAACTATTTTGGTAAAATAAGTGGCAACCATATTTAAAATTTTTTAATAAAGCAATGTTCCCACATGCTATGTAATATGGTAGTTTAATTTATCAGTTGCGTTGATTACCGCAGGTGAAAATAATAAAAATACCGTTATAATGCTGTTGCTACAAATATCTTCTCCATTTTTTTTTTTTGATATTTTCGCATGTACATAAAGTATCCACCATTTAATGTCATATCACAAATTTATGATCAATATTCATACGCACTTATTTAGCAGGCATACATACTCGCACATACATACAAATATGTAGCTGTTGTAATGGATTCACCGAAATAACTGGGCAAATATTAAAACGAATGCGTTCAAATGTCATAAAATTCGCTAGTAAATTGCCATATTTTATGCTCGCTTAAGTTGCGCAGGTGTGCCGGGGTGCCGGGTGTGCGTTTATATGGCATTTTGTGTTGCCAAATAAGCCTAACTGCCAACACTTTATCGCATTTTACACAGGTATTCCACCGCCTACAGCTAGCTACGCACACGCACACTCACATGCAGTCGCTCAAAGCGCAGCATTCAGCCATTCATGCTGCTTAGTGACAGCGCCGCATACAGAGGTGAGAAGGGTGGGCGTGTGGAGCTGAGTGGAGTAGAACAGAACAACTCATTTACGCACACTTTGCCTGGAGTTGGTGTTAATAATTGCCGCAAACATTCGCCCAAACAGCTGACACATACAACCAAGCGTAAATAGACGACATAATATGATGTTTATGCTTAGCTTGTGGGCGCTTGTGGGTGTGAGGGCACTTAGGCGCCATTGCTGTTGCACATTTGTGAATAAAAAATGGGTCATTCGTACTAACTAACAGCTTTGGTTGCAGCTCTGAACCAACTCCAGCAACCAACGCATGCATTATTTTACACGTGTGTGTGTGTGTGTTTTGTTGAAAGGAAAGTCAGCAATAATTGTATGATACACTGTCAGCAATTTTCTTTATCTAAATAATTTGTAGTCTTATTTAAATATCTGTCAATTTGGTTTTTGGTGTTCTTCTTTTATTAAAAAAAAAAAAGTTTAAAAATTAAATATATTAAAAAGTACTAATTAATAATAATTCAGACTCGCTGAAAGTAATTTGTGGGAACCTAAATCTAAATCACCTAATTTCGTCTAAATTATACTCATTCACACTATATTATTTTTTATATTACCCAAACATTCCTATCATGTGAAAATGGGCGAAATCATATGACAAATACGCCCACATCCTATAAACTTTTAAATTCCATGTGATTCTTTCAATTTACAGTCTACTAATAAAACATGAATGAAGTTATCAGAATAAAGCTTTGCAAAAACAGTGCGCTCAACGGATTTTCAATCATCCGTTTGACTTTATAGCTTATATATTGGTCAATCCGTGAGGTTTCCTAAAAAAATTATATATGCAAAATGTAGTAATGAAATTAAATGAGTCTACCACTTATAATATACATAAGTTAATAAGATACTAAATTTGATTGTTTGCATTTTTGCCTGTCAATATTATTTTTTAATACAATAACGCCACAATTCAACAATTTTTTTTTTCCAAGTGGCAACAACCCTGTTGACGCACAAGCAGAGCGCGGACAATTCACACTTTGGAGCCACTGCACTGTCATAAGTAAATACTCACCCATTACTTACCCGTGTTGCCACAGATGTGTACTATATTTGTGCGACTGCAAGTTATTAACTTTTGCTATCTGTGCTAACGCTAATTTTGCGTACACACGTAATGACGGCAATGCCGATAATAAAGCATCATACGGCAGTTGCACAGCTAAATAACAGTAGCTGCTGCAGTGATGGAGGAACTCATTGTTCCATTCACATATGTACAATCATATTTAAATGAAGAAGCCACCGAGCATGTTGGAGCCATAGCTGGATGACTAGTCGACACTAGTGAACCTGGTGGCATTGTGTCGAATTGTTCTTGTTGTTGTTGTTGCACTGTTACTACCTGCGATGATATTCGTAGAATTTGCAACACTGTAGGTTGTTTTTATATTTCATTACTGATTTCATTTCATTTCTGAGCTTTCTCTGTGTTTCTTTTAGTATTTATAATTTCAACACATCTTTTTAACAAACTCATATTTGTTTATTTTCTCTGTTATACCTATTCCAATATAAGTATAAGGTTAGGTTACTCCATACATAAACCTACTGGTCCTTAGCAATACCAAATGAAAATTCAGTTTAATTATAATTAAATGGCATCTAATTTTTCATACTTCATCTAGTCTCTTTAACTGGGAAGCTCATAGAAACCTAAGATGAGTCTCAGATAAGGCTGAACAGAAGTAAAGAAGTGAGTAAAAAGCATGCGCGGTTTTCTTCTGGAGATCATGCATGTCCTTAAGTATTTCCTGTACTGGTTCGGTATCCAGACGGATGACACTTCGTTTTTCGGAATGCCATTGTGGCCTGGAACCCAGTATACATATATGCAGTCGCTTTTCGGAAGCCTCCACATCTGCTGCCTCCCTGGTTCTTAGGACATTCTTGAGGTAATACGATGTCAGATTATTGCCGCTTAGCTACCTTAAGTGATGATTTGCGGAAAGCATTAATTTTTTTGTTTTCATTTGAAGAAAAGTGCTGCAGAGTCGTATCAAATGCTTGTCGAGGCGAGGCATATGATCATGGTGATCACGCTCTGACAGAAGCAACATGCAAAAGATGGTTTCAACGGTTCAGAAATAATGATTTGAGAACATGAGAAATGAAGAACGTGGAAGACCACTAAAAAAGTTTAAAGACGCCGAACAGCAAGCAATGTTGGGTGAAGATGATACTTTGAGTCAAAAGCAAATGGTAGTCATGTTAAATGTTGCACAACAAACAATTTCAGACCTTTTGAAAACTAACAAACTAACAAAGATTCAAAAGTGTGGAAAATGGGTGCAACATGAATTGAATGATATACAAATGGAAAGCTAAAGGCGATGAAAAAATGGATTTATTTTAAAAATTTTAAGCGGAGAAAATCATGGTTTAATGTGGGACAACGATCAACATCGACTGCAAAAACAGATCGATTCGGTAGAAAGTCAATGCTTTGTGTTTGGCGGGATCAGAAGGGTGTGGTATATCATGAGCTTCTAAAACCTGCTGAAACTGTTAATACAAATCGCTAAAGACAACAAATGTTCAATTTGAACCATGCATTGATCGAAAAACAACCAGAATGGGCCAGAAGACACGACAAAGTCATTTTGTTACATGACAACGCAACTGCGCAGAAAGCAAAATCGGTTTAGGATACCTATAATCAAAGTACTTGGCTGGGAGCTGCCACCCCACCCGCCGTATTCACCTGACTTGGTGCATTCCGATCACCATTTGTCTTCACAATAGAATACGCATTGGCTGAACAGCACTTGGTGCATTCCGATCACCATTTGTCTTCACAATAGAATACGCATTGGCTGAACAGCACTTCGATTCCTAAGCAGAAGTCGAAAAGTGGATGTGTGTGGTTGTGCTAATAAAGAGAAATCTCGTATGGTTATTCTAAGAAGCGTACATTTCCATTGAATGACAGAGTCATCCTAGGCCAAAAAATTTGAGAATTCTGTGAGCTTAAACAAGAGAATTTTCATAATCCGCTAGTATCAAACTAGTACCTTATGCTAAACTTTTAGTGCTAACGAGCTTAAACAACTTGGTTCCACATTAATTATGTCTTTTTTTATACTCTTGCACAGAGTATAATAGCCTAGTTCTCCAAACGGATGTTTGTAACATCTAAAATATATCGAGCAAGATGTGGAATTAGGTATGTCGAAATCAAAGTCATGATGACACGAATTTATTTCCGGTAGGCTGTCTCTTCGCCCGATTGTTTGAAAGTAATATATTCAAAATTACGGATAAGTTTTTCCTGAAATTTGTATTAAATACACTACTTAAAGAATCGTAGCCAATTATATTTAAATATACGCAATTTTTTTCAGGTTTTCAAATTTGTGGAATTCGTTTAAAGTTTAAAAATATTACCCTGAAGAATTATATATCCAACGTATTTTTTGTTAAGCATAAATTTTGTTTGGATTATCCAGTGTAGTGGCGTTATGAATGAAGGTAGTGATTCCGCTTCCAAGGTGTAGTTATTGACGATATACAATTTATTCTAGATAAAAATAGAACAATGGATAAAAAGAAAAGATGGAAACAATAGACAGAGAGATACCTTTAAATCTCTAACGCACTTACTGCAGAAAGTGGGCACTTCTTCGGGAAGTTGGTAACTCGAACAATCTGCTTTGATGTAATCATCCATAATCTATTGTTATGCACACCGCTTATTAGCTTACAGCCGTCTTGCTGTAGATTTAGCAAATTCATTTTATTATTATTAGCACGTAGCACATCCAGTTTGGCATGTACTGTGAAATTAGCATCTTCATATAATTTAAATTCAGCATAAACTATGATTTTATTGTCCACATTGTAAAATTTGTAATTGAATACACTGAAGTTATACCTTTGACCGGCAGTGTAGTTCATGTAATACATACCAATGCCAAGGTTGCGCTAAAATCAGGCACAACATCTTTTAAAAATAAAATATTTTAATGAATTTATTTCAATTACCTCGCCGTTATTGAGCTCGTACAGTAGTGGCAGAATTAAAAGCACTAAGATAAATCTCTTGGCGCTATCCAACATGTTTCTGCGGAGAAATGTCAAACGAATTGAGTGTTGCTGGCGAAATAGTTAGTTTAAGGTTAAATTTTTTAAATATGGTATTTTGATAATTTTATACCCATTAATGGCATATAGTGTCATTTAAACGCTTTTAATGTAAATTATATATGAATTAAAAGATATTTTAATAACTTATTTCAGTACTGGTGTTGTTTTTGACTATACAATTTATAATATTTTATATGTAAGATAATTAACGCTGATGTACAATACTAATGAAATTGACAATCAGTGCTGAATGATGAAAAATGTATTATTTATTTTCGAAACATTATAGTGGGCAATGAGGTGTAAAAATATGTAAGTAGTTCATTAGCATAGTTGATTTGAATCGAAATAAGACTAAATAAATGATTTCTGTATTGACATTAACAATCCGATACTTGTGGGACAATAGTAGTATTTTGGTTCAATATGGTGGTATATATTAGGGTGCGTTCGAGATGGCAATCACAACAACAGTGTTGCAAATTTGTTAAAGTATCACGTTCTGCGAGAATTTCTGTCAAAACTTGCAACAGCATTATTTTCTACTTTCACTTTTTGCACGCAATTTATGCAAATAATCGGCAACGCTAAATTTTTGACTGCACATCAGCAGAGTATTAGCAAATGATATTCATAGCAGTACTGCATATAAGCGAAATCGATTCGGTCAATTAAGGGAAAATAAATATTTTCCAAGATCGTGCATAAAAATATTAATAGCAATAACTATCAAAACTTTTCGAATATCGAAAAATTATTAAAGTTTTATTTTTTATTTAGCGTTTAGCATATTTTAGAACTAATAACGTTTTTGTACGCGAACCACAAGACCATCGAAAATATGCAGGTACACTTGTGAGATTTTGTCTCAGTTCTATTTGGTGTTGATCCCTCTCTTTACCGTCTATTTTATGCCGCTGGTGTCTAAACGGTACGAGTTTACTGCTATTGATAAAACCAACTGTATAAAAAGCATTCACTACGGCAATGAGCTTCGGTGGAAGGGCATATGCAAAAGCACATAGGTTAAGACTGCAATGTAGTACAAAACTCCATCAGCGAAATTGGCCACATCCTGTCGTTTGTCGCTAGAGAGCGTTGAGAGGAATCGTCAACGAGTGTTTTAACTTCGTTAGAAGTGCTCAAATGCTTTCAGTGTCACTTATGTGTCCTTATATATACGACGTGTAATTGAGGAGGAATATGTATAAAATGTGGTTAATATAACCTGAACTGAGCTTATGGGGTAAAATATTTACCTATTTTTGCAAAGTATATTTAACTTAACTTTACATAACTTAATATAAATTAATGTAAGTTATGTTTATACAAACTTTGTTTTAGCTTTATTAAAGTAGGGATACTAATATTGCACAATATCCTTAACATCACCACCTAATTTAACTTAATAAAAAAAAACAAGATAATTAAACTTAACTAAACTTATCGTACATTTAATTAAGCTTTCAAAATTAGTTTAGGCTTAACAAAACTTAATTATATTAACGGATTATATCCAACTGCAACTCAGAAAAACGCGTTTTTTGTAATTTTTATTTTTCAATAGATATTTAATAGCTTATAAAAAAATGAGCATTTACAGAATTTGAACATTTGGTACATTTTGAAAAATGTTGGACTTTCTTGATTATGTAGACGATCTCTTCCAAAAAAGGGTGACTGGCGGGGAGGAAAATTTGTCTGCTTAAAATAAACTCAAATCCAAAAATTGATTTTTTGAAATTTGCCATGTTATATATCTCCTTAGGTTAGGTTAGGTTAGAAGGTCGATCCTAAGAAGGATCACACTCGAACAGCTTAAAACGCCGGTCCGTTGTGGTACTCAAAACTCCTATGAGCTGGATGAAAGGATCCTTACATGTCGACAAAGCACTTTGTGCCTATGACAAACTTGTTGAGACGGCCAATAACCCTTTAATATAAAAAAATAGGAAAGAGAACTGTAAACTTATTAAATTATGCTCCCAAACCATTTAACAAAGGCTCGCTACCGACACTTTAACACCAATTTAATGTACTTTTTGCCAAGCTCGACTATATTTTCGATGCTATGCCAGTGACACGGAATACTTTGCGGCTTTCAACTGCACATAAGCACAACTGCACTGTCAGCGGCATATTGTTATGAAAACTGTCACGGCACTAACACAAATAGCTAAAGTAATTGTTTTTTTTTTTTTGTTTTTTTGTTATAATTTGCCGCACTTATGTGCCCATATCTACATATCTAAAAGTATGTATATATGTGGGAGTAGTATAAGGCTGACGAGGATTATTATTTTTTCAGTTATTGCACTTTTTCGCATATGATTGCGTCAACCAGTCTGCCATTGCTTATGTGAAGCTGCCGCAGCGTTGTAAAGTGCTTGAACTCTTGCGTGAGTGTGCGTGTGTTTTCATTTTGTGTTTGTTTTTTTTTTGTGCAATTTCAGCCGATGATTCGCGCGCACATGCATTTTTAGTTTTACTTGTGCACCTTAATTTTTTTCTAACTCACATACGTTTTCTGTTTATTTTCGCTACACGGTTTCGTTAACCTCGCTTCCGCTTCCGCTGCTATGCTTTTGTTGTTGCTTTTTGTTATCTGCTAACAGCATACTTTTATCAACACTAACCGTTTCACAAACACTGCCACGTTGCCATGTTCTCATCGCGTACGTGTAATGCCCATTTTCGCGCCTTCATTGAAAAGTGTTTGCTTCCTGGCTTCCTGGTGTCTCTCCCAAAGTTTTTGTTTCGTTTTAATTGCGCTTTCGTTTATTCTAATTTTTTCTGCTGTTGCTTTCGGCTCGGAGGTGGTAGCGTTACAGTTGAGTAGTTTTTCATTTCATTTTTTGATATATTTTTTTTTTGGTGTTATTTGTTTGGTTTTGCTCCGGTATTTCATCTCACTTATGCCACCGATGGTGGTATGCAATAGCAATCGAAAAGAATTCCCATGAATGATTTAAAAGCAAACACTATTAACAACACCCACACGACGCCTGAGCGCTCAAGGCAGCATGCAAATTGCATACAAACACAAAACGATACATATTACACACATACTTATGTACATATGCACGTTACATTGGTAAATGAATTTGTATAACTACACGTGCGAAGTACAACGCGCCATATGAGAATATGTGTATGTCGGTGTGTGTGTATGTGTGTCTATTTGTTCACCTGCATTTGTCTATCCAGTAGAGTCCTGAATCCTTTTCATGTCACTAACGCACACATTTGTTGTTGTATATAGCCTGCATTAGCTGCAGGCGATTGCGCATTCATCACACGCAACACATTGACTTAGCAATTTAAACGCGGGAGCTTATGTGCTCTATATACAAGTACATAGATATGTATGCGGCTATATGCACTTGTGACTAAGTGAATATATTCACTTTTAAAAGCAAAGGGGACAGGATAAAGTTCGTTAAATTGGCTAACTTCTTAGTATCCTAAGTTTTAAAACGATTTAAGATATATTAAACTACAGCGAATAAGGGAAATTTTAATTTTTTTAAGTTAAGGGGTTATATTCCATCGATTTTTTTGTTTTGCATATACTAATATCGAATGTACAAACATATATTAGAGAATATTAGTGCATTTTTTATAGTAAAGAAGCGTATAAAAAGAATTTTATCTTGTTTTGAAAGTCAGATTGAGTAAATTTTGACATTGCTGAGGTATACTGGAGAACAATTTCTTAAATATATAACTCACATATTGAACGACATATTTGACATACGGTTTGTTAGAATAATGAAAATCAATATATGTAATATTTGGGAGTTGGGATGTTCGTAGACTGAATTCGCATATTTTCGCCATTAAACTATAGTATAACCAATGTTATACGTTAAGTTAATTTCGCTAAGATATCTTACATATTGACTGATGTACATATATGACATAAGGCCAACCGGAAGTTTTTAAATATTATATTAGGTATATGATAGATTGAGGTAATATTGACCCGATTTTATCTATTTTTGGCAATACAACATGCTATTAACAGAATGAAATACTCCCTGAGTTTCATTAAGGTACCTCACATAGCATCACCAACATATATTATATATGTGGAGTAAAATTTACCGGACGTTTGAAAATTCTGTGATTAGTTATATGAGGGCTAGGATAAGTTTTCACCTGATTTTACATATTTTATGCACAAAGATACAGTGTTATTAGGAAAATGTGCTCTCTCTATTGGCTATTATATGCGATATAAAGATACCCGGAATTTCGAAAATCTTTATATTAGATATACGGGAGCTAAGGGAAATATTTACACGTTCAACCCATTTTTGACACACAGACATACTATCAACAGGTAATGATTCTCTCCGTATTTTTATATTATATTTAAGTTTTAAAAATACATCAAATAAATTAATTTAAATTTTCTTTTGTCATTTGAACTATTCACAATAGTAAAATTGTTCTAAAATATTCAAAACAAAACTTGGTAGCATTGAAGAGTAGCCGCTACCATACTCTCTTGTACGAATTCGAATTCAACTCGATAACATTATTGTTGCTTTTACGTGTATTTTTTTTTACAAGAGACCAGAAACGAGCATAGAAACGGAGAATCGAAAACAGCAATTTTAAATAGGTAAAAGTTATGTATATCTTAGTATATCAAATCACATCACATCATCACATCACATCATCACATCACATCCTGAAAATGTATCTTTTCTTATATATAATGAGAAATCCACAGGCAGATTAAAATATTTTTCAAGGAGTTCTAATTTACCTATAATCCCTGAGCTGCTGTCTCAAAATCTCTGATCTCTGGTCTCATGATCTGTAGCTAGGAGCTCAAAATTTTTGATCTCAGGATCTCCAAACTCCGACCCGTGATCTGTGTTCTCAACATCTATGATCTCAATATTTCTATGATATTATATATGACCTTTATGATCTCTATGACCTCAGGATGTGTTGGTCTTAAAATGAATTATCGTAGTATTTATGATTTCAAAGTCTCTAACCTCTGCTCTCAAGATCTATGATATCAAGATCATATCTGATCTTAGCATTTATGATGTTAAGATCTATGGTCCCAAGATCTATGATCTCAGAATCTACGATTTATGACCTCTATGTTCTATGAGCTTGAGGTCAATCATAAAATATTACAACACAGTGAAACAAGCTTAAATTTGAGCATTTTCTTTGACGGCTCCCCTACA